TCTAGACCACAAAGCATCATAAAATACTGACTCTAAACATGCACATTAGTAACTGTAAAAAGATAAATTTCCTAACTTTGTGTCAAAGAAAAAACATCAGATTTTAACCCGTAAAACTCCATGGTACTGTAACGTGGCGTAACGACCTTTGTTCGGTGACTGACCCAGAGCATTGACCACAGCAGGTCCAACATCAGTGGGCGGCTGTGGCTGAGTGGTTAGAGCAATAGTCCTCCAACGCAAGAGTTGAGGGTTCAATTCCACCAGCAGTCACATGCCGAAGTGTCCCTGAGCAAGGCACTGAACCCTCATTGCCTCTGATATGTGTCTCATCAGTGTATGAATGTGATAAAATACTGATTATTGTTTGTAGAGATCTAGTAGAGGGCATGAATGGGTAAATGAGGACACAGATTGTGTTGTAAAGAGCTTTGAGTGTCTTGATAAGATAGAAAGGTGATATATAAGTACAGTCCGTATACCAGTTACATAAATCAGAACAAACATTCACCACGCTGCATTCTGGTAATCCACTCTGGGTAATAACATTTCTGCAAATACACATTGATATTGAGAAAGTGCTTGATAGCATAGAGCATGCATCAGGATGCTTGATAGCAGTTCACTAAAATGTTTTAGCTGAAACAAACAAACAATAGGCTTTTTAAAATTTAGAATACTGTATTGTCATGAGTAGCACGGTGGTGCAGTTGGTACAGCTGCTGCCTCTCAGCGAGCAGGTTACCCTGGTTCAAATCCAGGTCCGGGGGCCTTCCTGTGTGGAGTTTGCATGTTCTCTCCGTGCTGGGTAGATTTTCTCCAGGTACTCCAGTTTCCTCCCACAGATCAAAAACATGCATGTTAGACTGATAGGTAACTCTAAATTATATGTATTATGTATATCTAAATTAAATTATCCCTGGTGTGAGTGAGAGTGAATGGTTGTTTGTCTCGTTTGTCTCTATGTGTCCCTGTGATGGACTGGAGACCTGTCCAGGGTGTCCCCCGTCTCTCGCACAGCGTTGGCTGGATATGGGCACCAGTGGCCCCCGTGACGGGAAAAGGAAGAAGCGGGTAAAAGATAATGAATGGATGGTTTGTTTAATTTTTATTATTAATTATCAGCCAGGAACTGACACAAACTTTTTTTCTTTCATTTAATCATCCAGTCTATAACTCTGCTGTTTATGTGCGGTCGTGTCAGTTTAGTTGGTTCAGGACAGATTGTGTTCAGACTTCCAAATTAATCCAGATTAAAGGGCTCCAGGTCACCACAGAAGGTGTTTTCAACACCAGTTCAGGTTGATCACACCTGAAAATGCCTTACGGCAGTAAATGGTAAATGGACTGTACTTGTACAGATCACCTTTCTATCTGATCCAGACACTCAAAGCTCTTTACAACACAATCTGTGCCTCATTTACTCATTCATACAGCACTCTACTAGATCTATAATCAGTGTTTTATCACATTCATGCACTGATGGGACACACATCGGAGGCAGTGAGGGGTTCAGAGTCTTGCCCAGGGACACTTCAACATGTAACTGCTGATGGAATCATACCCCAACTCTTCAATTGGATGTCAGCTGCTCTATCCACCCATCCACAGCTGCCCCCTGTACTGTAACAACAATTTGTTGTTCTGCTTCATCAGGATCACTGTCTGTGCCATCTTACCTGCCTGAAAGGATTCCTGGACTTTTTCTGCCTTGTGATCTGAGATCATTCCATCAGACAGCTCCTTAAATCAAAGTACAACACATGGCTCCCACGTGCTTCACCTTCACCATCAGTCTGCAGAGCTCCATGGATTGTTGAAGAGCTACCAAGAGAAAACTTTACAAACATCTTCAGAGTGAATCTGTAAAACGCACCGTCTTCATTGTGTCTCTTTCAGATCAGGAGACAGAGCCCCTTTGTTTTCATTTAAAGTAGTTAAAAGTTAATTAACTTCGCTCATGAACCGGACCTGCTGGCTGCCACTCAGATGATTAATGGGCTCTGTGTGTGTGTGTGTGAGATGAGGTTTGTGAGGATGTGGAGGGCTCCACGCTGTGTGTGTATGCTGGTGTGCAGCTGGGAGGGTTAAAATGAGTCATAGCTCGGTTTGCTCATGCCTTACAGACTGAAATGTTTAACATTTCAGACTACCATGGCAATGAAAAAGAAAACAAACCTCCACAGTGTGGCCCTGTGTGAATGTGTGTGTGTGTCGTATGAGATACAAAATCATTAACTGCAGGAACTTTATGAGCCAACTGGGGAATGTTTCACCAATCCTCCCAAAGTCTGTTTCTTTTTGCTACAATTCCTAGTGAAGTCATTTAAACTGGCATTTATCCTGCAAATAACAAAAAAATCATACAGTTTGGATAAAAAAATAGGGGAAATGATGGATATTAAGCTAACGGTTGATAGGGTATAATTAAAAGAAGAGCAGATATGTTGTGAAATCCTCTATTTAACTTGTTACAATGAAAAAACATGTCTCTAACCTGTTATTGTAAATGTTGCTGCATGAATGAAACAAAAGTTTAGAGCTACATTTAAAGACCTAACATCAATGAAGGAATGAACTTCAGCAGCTGCCAAAGTTTTGTCTCATGATGAGAAATGATGAGATTTTAGCCTTGTCAAGTCTCGTTAGTTATCGTATTTTTCACCCCATAAGTCGCAGTTTGTTCCATAATTTACATGCCCTG